ATCTGCAACATTCCTATAATATCCCTTCAGTCTATATAAACATATTATATCTTAAATATAAAACCCTCCCTTTATGCCAAATTCCCTTCCAGGAATTATAGTGGACTCCTGAATAACATAGGGGGTAGGGTAGGGGCACTCAAAAATCCACATATAACTTCTGGCTCCCTCAAAACTGAACTACTGTATTTTTTGTGATAGAAAAGTAAGATAGAAGCAACCAAATGATGAAAAACAAAGCAAAGGTGAAGGCAAGTTGCAGGAAAGGCTGGAACATCAGGGTTCTTCCCTGCTCCTGGTACTCTATCCTACTACCCGTGGGGAACTCTCTTCACTGAGGTCTTGAACTGGGAGGTGTAAGAAACAGGCTCTGGGGAAGGGTTGTTGCCAAAGAAGCCAAGGACCACATAATAACCCACCCAAGGGGTTACTGACTCTCCACCAAGGAGTGCAGAACCCTCGGGGGGACAGGACCGCACCAGACAAAAGCCTTGGACTCAGTATGGGGGTGCTGTCCAAGGTGCTGAATGTCTTCTAAGGAGGGTTGCTAATATTGTGGGGGAACTTACCCCTTGGCAGCATTTCCCCCACAAGCAGAAACTGCATTAGAATCACATAAAGGGGACTAGGTGGAACAAGCGACCTAGAGAGAAGGGTAAAGGTGCTTTAACTTCCCTGGTTATCTACCTTCCCTAGACTCCACTTGGAAGGTTTTCCACATTCCCAAGAGAGAAGCAAGATACAGGTATCACTCTAGGATCTAGTTTGGCTAAGTGGAGGTTTGGAGGAAGAGAAGGAGACATGGTGGTTCCTGTTCTACTGTTGTACAGTATTTATTAAAACAAAAACAAAGACAAAAAAAATCCTACTCACAACTAAACCTGTGCAGTTCAAACTCATCTTGTTCAAGGGTCAAGTATATTCAATATATTCCTGTTATGACCTAATGTCTGTGCCCCCTCAAAATTCATATAGTGAAATTCTAACCCCCAAAGAGGATGGTATTAGTTGGTGGAAGCTTTGGGAGGTGATTAGGTTCTGAGGGTGGTAACCTCATGAATGGGATTACTGCCTTATAAAAGAGGGGGCAGCCTGGGTGGCTCAGCTGTTTAGTGCCGCCTTCGGCCCAGGGCACAATCTGGGGACCAGGGATCAAGTCCCACGTTGGGCTCCCTGCGTGGAGCCTGCTTCTCCCTCTGCCTGTGTCTCTGCCTCTCTCTCTCTCTGTGTGTGTCTGTCGTGAACAAATAAATAAAATCTTTAAAGATTTTAAAAAATAAAATCTTAAAATATATATATACACACACACATACACACACACACACACACACACTCATATGGTGGAAAGGACTAGAGATGTCCCTGGAGTCCCTTTTATTTTATTTTTTTAAAGATTTTATTTATTTATTCACGAGAGAGACACACACACACAGAGAGAGAGATAGAGAGAGAGAGAGAGAGGGGCAGAGACACAGAGGGAGAAGCAGGCTCCACGCAGGGAGCCCGACGTGGGACTCGATCCCGGGTCTCCAGGATCAGGCCCTGGGCTGAAGGCGGCACTAAACCTCTGAGCCACCGGGCTGCTCCCACCATGTGAGTATAAAATGAAAAGTCTATGACCTGGAAAACGTGCTTTCACCTTGAATTTGGACTTTCAGCCTCCTATGAGCAATCATTTCTCTTTATAGGCTACTGACCTTGTGGTATTTTGTTATAGAAGCCCATAAGGACTAAAACAGTTCCTTACTTTTCTCATGCAAATTTCGAAACTGGAGACTATATAGCAACTCCATTTTTTTTATTGCTCCCCATACAGGCTTAAATCTGCCCAGTTTGCTTCATGACCTACCACTCCACTTAAACTGAACTTCCTAAGGTCAAAAAAGCATCCTACCTGGTAAATCCAATGACAATTTCTAAACCATTTCTTACAAATCCTATCAGTAGCACATGACAATTTTCCCTCACTTTTGAATATCTATTCTTCTTCTTCTAGCATTGTACCTTCTTGGTCTTTCCTCAGCTCATGCCTAAATATTTTACTTTACCTGTTGATATTTTATTCCACTAAGAGTCTGTTATTGTTATATATAAGTTTGCTTATGTACAATCATGTAAGGCCAAAAATATGAATCCAGGACAAAAAAAGAGTGGTTAACAAAGCTGTATTATGGGAAACACCTGATTTAAATGAATTATTTTTAAAAAGCAGTTTTCAAATTAGGTACTGGTGCAAGACTGTACAAGACAGAGAAAAAGAATCTAAAACAATAAAAAGTACCTGTTTGTCAAAGTGGGAGTCATTGTCATTTTGAGGTAGATAATTCTCCACTGCCTAGTACTGCCCTACACATTGTAGGATGTTTATAATCCCTAAACCCTACATACTAAATGTCCTATTGTTGCTCTTAACCCCAAATGGACAACTTAAGAAGAAAAAAAAAAGTCCATGGATTTCCAAGGGGGAGTATTACCCCTAGCTGAGAAATAATGATAAAATGATTTTGCATTTAGACTTATTATTTTCACTGCTTGCTTATCTTTGGAGAAACAAACTAAGAAGTAGGAAATGCATTTCAGGTATTCGCACTTAAAAGACTATGAGAAACAATAATGAGCAGACCCACAGGCAAAGAAAAGGTCATGAATGTCTATCAATAGATTAGTATTTTAAGTTAAATAAAATATTAAAGGTATTTAGGTATGTTCTTATTTCCTGCTGCTATAATCAAATGCTCCACTATTGAGTATACTCAGTATGCTGAACTTTTTAAAGGTATGTTTTCTGAGAACTATGATAATTATCTGAGACATTTATTCCATGGACAAAGGCTTAGTGACTTCGTAGCTTTTAAATATTCAGAAGTTGCCAACTCCAAAAAAAATTCAGAAACTCATCATACAAATAATAATTCTTCTAATATTGTTGAGGAATGTCATGAAAAAGTGACATTCATGTTATTTAGTAATACATCTTAACTTTTGTAATACAGCCCCCTTAACTTCAAGCTTTTGAAAACAATATAATCATACTGAAACATACTGACAATAAAATCTTCTTCAAGTATTAAAATTTTTAAATTGTACAACCTAAATCATTTGTTTCACATTAGAGAGACAATACTCTTTTGTAACTGATTGATGAATATGCACATTTTTAGGCATTAAAACATTTCAAAGATTTTTGTGGACTTTTCTCTTAGATACCCCATCAATACTAAGATTCTGGCCTCCAAATAACAGGTAATTTTTTTAAATGTAGTTTCCATTAGAAAGACACATAAATTGAGATCTTCCTTTTTAATAGGTATAAGGTGTTAAGTTTAAGCCAGAAGGGAAGTATTACTTAATTTTTCCACAGGAGACAAATGAGTTATTTAATAATCACTAAAATCATAGATTAAAATAATAAAGCAGAAGGAACTAAACTTAGAAAGATTGCCAAACCTATTTGTTTACTTGGCTTCTATAAGAAAATTCTAATTACTACAGATACTTCAATTATAGTGTAAAATAAAATAGCAATAAGGAGAGTAAATCAACAAATATTTCCAACAAATTATTTTCACTATTTTCCTACAAATCTTAGAAGAGGTCCAAGTAGATAAACCAGTATTCATAGATAGATTGGAAAATCCATTCCGGATTTTGAAGTAAATAAAACAGCATATATAGAAGAGAGAGCGAGCGAGTGCACACATGCACAAGAACATGCACATGAGCAAGCAGGTTCATAAGTCCTAAATCAAGAAATGAAACATGGAAATTAGCAAAGATTTAGGGAAAAAAAAAACAAAGCAAAAATAAATATAAACAAGTTTAAAACACAGAAAGATTTTTATTGTACTCATTTCTTGCATGCAAGTATATTCTTCAGGAGTTTTTATTTATACGAAGGTTAATGTATGCTTATGCTAAATCAGCAAGATTCCCTTGAGACAGATTTCAGCCTTTGCTTGGAGGAATGTGACTTGGTACTCTCAGTATGCTTTCATTATGAGCCCTTTTAATGGAGATTTATGTCCCTGAGTGCTCTCAATTCACATGCTCTTGAATGGACTTTTTTTTTTTTTTTTACATCACATTTATCTTTTTAAAAATAAGTTTTCTGTACAGCATAGGGAATACAGTCGATGGTATTGTAATAGCACTATGTAGTGACCAGTGGTAACTATATTTGTGGTGAGCATAGCCTAAAGTAAAAACTTATCAAATCATTATGTTGTACATCTGAGGCTCATGTAACATTTTGCTTCAAATATAACTACACTTTTATGTAAATTAATTAGTTAACTAATTTTATACAGAGTATTAACCATAATCCAGGCTCATTTGCATGGTCTCCAAACAATTTATAAAACAACAAATGCTACTGTTATAGCTGTTATCAAAGCTTTAGGAAATGTTACTTTAAAGAAGTGGTATTTGTGATACATAATTACAATTTTAAGCTATAAAATTGCACATGTTAAAGTTTACTTTTCTATTCCATTTCATTGATCCATTTCTATGGTCCATTTCACTGATCATAACAGAGATTAATGATTGTTTACATCAACTTTTTGCCTGTGAGCAGAAATTCTGGGACTAATTTCATCCTTAAAAAGACTAAAGTCAATCTACAGGAAAACCCTTCATAAAAAATTTTCATTGCTTTCCCCTCTTCATCCAATATCTAGAAGGACAAGGAATAAAAGATTAAATACATTTATCCTTTTTTTTTGGAATATACTTTCTTCAGTCTCCAAAATCTACTACTCCACTTGTACTTGACATATTTGCTAGTCACTAGATACACAGTCATCTGTTATTGAGTCTGTAGCAGGGAAGAATAACTATTTAGGGTTGACAGAGCAATTTCTGAATCATCTGCAAACCCGGCTAAATAACAAAGCTATAGAACTATGCTGAAATCAGGGCACTGAAATCAGGATGCTAAATTACACTGCCCAAAGAGGCAATGATTCACTCTTTGAAGCATTATTTTTTAATGTACTTACGATAGCCACATTTTTTACAGCCGGCTCGGACACTATCCTTGTTGCAACCTGAAATACAATTGGATAACATTTTAGGAGACATATAAAAAGTAGAAAAATAAGAATTTCATCACATGAATAAACTAAGAAACCTCTTACTGTAGAATTTCTTTCTTTAAAAAAAAAAAAAGTCATTCCTGACCCAAATTAGTAACACTATTCATTCAATTGTTTTGAATATTAGAAGTAACCGGAAAAGCCAATTTACTCACACTATTTTCTTTGACACTATTTTAAGAATAATTCCAGAATACATTTATTTTTAACAGAAATGCAGTGTTATGGTCAAGAGCTTAAATATTCCCAGAATTCTAGAACACTGAGGAAGAAATTCCAGAGAACTTCAGCTTGTCCCTCAAATGTAAATAATTAGCTATGTATGTAAATGCATACATATATTCACTATATATACTAGTTATTATATGTACATATATATAAACATTCAAGATAACAAATGTTTTCCTGTTCTCCCTTAGAAGAAAAACAAACTGACTTTTTAAAAAGAATTGATGAGAATCCAAAGAAATACTTTAAAATGCTAGGTATTATAAGAAACATCTGAATTCAGCAATCAGATTCTGACAAAAGAAAACAAACCTCTAGTCACAAATTCAGTCTGATCAAAGTTTAGAAACATTTATAGTTATCTCTGTATAATTAGTGATACATGAGAACAATGTTGGAAGAGGAAATAACAGATGAAATAGATTTTTGTAAAAAAAAAAAACATAAAATTTATCACCTTAAGCAGTTTTAAGTGTATAATTCCATGGTATTAAGTACATTCACAATGTTACTACAACCATCACTACAATTTCCAAAATCTTTCATCATCCCAAACACTAATTGTACCCATTAAATAGCTTCCCATTCTCCCCTCTAGCCCATGGTAACCTCTATTCTATTTTCTGCCTCTATACATTTACCTATTCTAGGAATCTCATATAAGTTGAATCCTACAACTTTTATCCTTTTGTATCAGAATTATTTTACTTAGTGTAATGTTTTCAAGATCATCCATATTGTAGCATATATCAGAATATCATTTTTATGACTGCATTTTATATATATATATATGACTAATTTTAACCTCTAATAAGGACTTCCACCAACCAGAAGGTCAGGAAAGAACTGCTCCATTCCCTTAATGAAAGGCATCTAATTCCTAAACCCTTCATATGAAGCTATAATCCAAATTCACTAATAAAATACATATAGCACAAATATAAAATACTGTTAATTTTATTTTTTTAATACTGTTAATTTTAAAAGGAAGATCATTTTCAAAGTATCTCCTTACAGTTATGAAGACAATACAATAGTCATTTTCCCTAATCCCAAAGTTCCTTTAAAATATATACTGTTGGGCAGCCCAGATGGCTCAGCGGTTTAGCGCCGCCTTCAGCTCTGGGCCTGATCCTGGAGACCCAGGATCTAGTCCCACATTGGGCTCACAGCATGGAGTCTGCTTCTCTTTCTGCCTGTGTCTCTGCCTCTCTCTTTCTCTCTCTGTGTCTCTCATGAATAAATAAATAAAATCTTTAAAAAAATATATATATATAGTTGAGTTATTCTAGTAAAAGTACAGTCAGGTATGCTATAATGCTTGTTTTAAAAACATGAATTTGTTTCTGTGCAACTGATATAAAAGAGAACAATTTTAATATAATGTGACTTTTGTCCAAGAAAAACACTAAGTGAATGCAGAAAATAGTATCCAGTTACTCGGAGGCTTATTATAAGAATATACAAAATGCACCCAAAATATTTCTAGTGACCTCAGTTCAGCATGTGTGCTGTGAGCAGGGTCCAACTGCATAAGATGTAATAACTCTAATCTGATTTCATGTCATCCTCTTCCTACCATTACTTTGGAACAATTCACAAGCTCTAATTCTTATGAAGTCCACTTCCACAGCAAACTCCAGGTCTTCTACAAGGTACAATACCCTATTTATTGTATTGTTTATGTGCCTTTTAACCAATTAATATGTGCAAAACTAGGCTGTTATTAGGTTATTATCAATTTTTATGTGTCATTGATGAAGTTTTTAAGTGTTGTGCCTCAATCTCACTTTTTCTCATAAACCTTGTGATAATACATATGCTGCACTGTTGTAGAACTGTGGTATAAAACCGGATTAATAATAAAATCTCAGGCTCTTTCATTATGAAATAATTGCTCATTGGGGGAAAAAAAATGCAGAGAATCCACGTCAATGTTAAGTCTGTTTCCATAGAAACCATAGACGCTGAATGAGACAGAACAAAACTGTTCTAAATGCACCATTATCATTCCTACTAAAACTGTTGTAATGGACAGATCTGGAATGACCTCATCTCAGCATTTATGAGAAATTAACTTACTAATGACGAACTCTACCTCAGAATTCATAATGAATGAAATATCAAACTTTTTCAGAGTAGGTTTCTCTAACAAAGTTGTAACTTCTTTATGCAACAAGAACTCTAAATAAATAACTCCATATCAACTATGTTTCTCACCAGTTTTTGGTTACATTAAAATTTCAGGCTTCATCTGTCCTAATTTTCTTGAGTGTTGGGCCAACTGAATGCTTCTGCCTGGGACATTTAATCTGATGCTTCTGATACAATAACTCTGAGACAAGTGACACAATGAAGTGAGGACATTTTATTCATTCTCCTGTCAAGACGCAGCTTCTAGTGGGAGTGACGCCAGAGAGCAGCACTCCTAACCATGTCTGGGGCTGTGCAGGATCTTGGCTATGGATGTCCTTGGTCTTTTCTGTTTTCCAAGTCTTGTTATCTAGCCTTTGCTTATGTTCTGTGAGCTCCCTGATATCTTTCATTTTCTTCTTCAATTAACTAAGTCAGTTTCTGTTGTTTGGAACAAGAATTCTGCTGATACAATAGTACTCAAGATCTATGTCAAGCTGAATAGCAAGGCCATATTGAGAGGCCCTTATTACTTCAATTAGAAGTTACCCAGTTCCCCATCTGAGGTTCTCATGCTGTTCTTCGTTCCATTCCTATTTAAAGTTTGCTAGTGCTGTTCAGAGTAATACAACCTGTCTCCCTCGAAATGTTCCTTTGTAATCATGACCTCCAATCTTAAAATCATTGAATAAAAACTTATAAAATTGCCTACATTTTTAAAAAATGGCAAAGACCACCTAAAACAAACTCAAAAGACACAGGAAAATGTAGGAACAAATATATGCAACTCATAACACCAATAAAGGGCGATTATCCCTACCATACAGAACCCAGAAAATCATTACGAAAAAAAACACCAACCAACAAGAAAAAAAATTGACAAAGGAGCTAAGCAAAAAGCTCGCAGGAACAGAAACAAGTCTGAAACATGGAGATGCTCATCCTTACTCATAATAAGTGAAATGTACATTAAAATCTATAGTGAGATTCTATTTTCACTTATCAGAATAGCAAAGAAAGGGTTGAGAAAAGTACGGGGCAGACACATTCTCATACAGTGCTTAATAGCAGTATAAATCAATACCACCTCTATGGAAAGCAAGCTGACAAAATCTATCAGAACTATAAATGTACATACTACTTTGACCTAGCACTTCTCCCTCTCAATCTGCTTGCACAAATGCATATTGACTTATATTGACTTATATACAAAGTTATTCACTACAGCATCATTTGTAATAGAAGAGTAGAAATAATTTAGATCTAAATAAATTATGGTTAGTCTTAATGATAGCTGATCATCTCTAAGATATAAAGAAAAAAAAGCAAGGTATAGAACAGTGCTTATGGTATATTGCCATTTATATGAAAGGACATTAGATGTAGATAAAACAAATTAAACACAGATTTTATTCATAGATGGAAATATACAAAAAAGATCTCTAAAAACATCAACTAGTTACCTAAAAAAGAAGTGCCTCTGGGGTAGAAAAGGTGTATGTCATTATTTACCTTTTGGTACATTTAAAATCTGAAATATGTGGATGAATTTCCTTCTCAAAAACCAAACTAAAAATGCCCCTCAAACAACTCAAAATGAAGAAGACTTGCTCTTGTGCAAGATTCTATAACAAAGGCAGTAATTGCTCTTGTAAATTCTTCAGAGAAGCTACATTACAGATTTACAATAAAATTTTATTAACTGATGGCTTTAGGAATAAATTGCAGATGTCTTTATCTATGCTAAATACTAGCAAGGACTTGTTGTGGATCTAGAACTCTGTTAAACAACCTGAGTGGCAGGGAAGAGTACAGTTAACTGGAAGGCTTTTCATCTTCCAGAACTTAAAGGAGTAGAGAAAGCCAGTTTTTCTAGGTTCCAGAACATGCCAGACAATACTGTATACAACTCTCTGCTGAGCATGGTGTAGACTTGCCAGATGTCCTTAACAAATGCTTGTTGCTTTGAGGCGAGAAACTTAATACCTCAGCACTTGGGAATCCGTGACTTATGCAGCTCCCAGTTGCTAGCTATGAAACTAGTGTCTACAGTGTCATTGGCCCAGGTCATTGGTCACTGAGGAGTAATAGGCTCCTGAAGAACAGGTGCAGAAGAAGGACAACTGAAATAAAAATAATGGCTATTTAGGCAAGGGAAGGGGGAAAGAGAGAGGCATAAGGGACCTTCCTACAGTGATAGAAATATTTAAAATCTTGATCTGGTGAATAGGTGTCCAAAACTAGACACATACACACACTAACACAACAACAACACACACATCCCGCCCCCCCCAAATATCATACCCAAAAACCCCACTGACCCAACATCCAAACCCTCTATCGCCACCCCTTCCCCCCCTCCACCGACATCCCACTCCGCCCACCGCTACTCTCCGCCCCCCGCCGCCTGTCCCCCTAACACCTTCTCCCCTACCCATCCTGCATCTCCCACTTGCAGCCCCTATTACTGCAACCCCCATTCCTCATCAACCGATTGACCTAACGATTCCCCCCCTCTGCACATGACAAACCCACCACAAGCCCCACCTTACCCCCAACCCCACTTAATCCCCCACCCCCCCAATCTACCC